GGGGGTGGGGGGGGATAATTTACAGTTTCTTCTTCAAAGCTCAATACGAGAAATAAGTGGGCTGGGTTCGGTGGAAGGAGACTGTTGATTAAACAATTGTCCAATCATTTTCGCTTTCATCTTGGTATGCAGCTTTGTCGCCGAAGGACACGCTCTCAGGCCTCGGAGGCTTTCTTAAGAATAAAGAAGACTTGCCATCAAAGAAGCTAGAGAATGGTTGGCGACATGAATTTTCCTCTGAGTTCTTCTCATCTTTTGATGGGTTTCTCGAGTTTCTTTCCTTGCTTCCAAAGCTCAGGCCAAGCATCTTCCGTCTTGGTTCACCCACAGTATTGGTTTCTTCCATCTGCCTTGCTGCCTTTAGGACTTCCTCTGGGTTCAATAACATTGTCTCTACTGTTTCGTACACCTACTACATCAAAAAAATGTCGCATTAAAGTAATCTTAAAAAGAAAAACTAAGTCATGAAAACTAGAGTGCAAGAAAATTTCGAAATAGTTCTACCCTTGAGCATTTTTGCATGAAGTGGTTGCTCTGAGAACTCTAAAAATGCACCCTTTATAGTTGAAAGTCCAACCACTCCATAAGGGGTTGTTTTTGAATGATAATGCCAGCCATAATTTCTCATTACAATAGAGCATGACAAAAACATGTTTCGAATTTTAAAAAATGACTGTTCTGAATAGTGAAAGAGAGAAAGAGATGGAAAACTATAGGTTACATAGTTATGCATAGGGTATTTTTGCGTACAAGCAACAAAGTTAGGTACTTCAAGTAACAGTATAAACGCCATTTTGAAATGAAGGAATCGATAAATGCTACAAATGCTTATAATTATCTGATATGGTCTTGGTATAACCTACCTGGCAGAGATCATCCATTTTATCACTCCAGATTTTTCCTTGACAAGTGACAACAACATAGTCTTTGCATTCCAAGAATATCTTCAACAAATCATTGTTACAGGAGAGTTTAGCCTCGGCCATTACAAATCCCAAACCAAGCTGAAATTTTCAGAACATCTGACATTATTAGCACACCATAAAAGAGGTACGATTTGAAGTTAACAACATGTAAATAACAAGTTAACAATGCAGCTGCAGACTGTACCGATGAAGCAGAAGAATTGGAATTTTTTCCTTCTGGTTTTAGTTTTTCCTTTTTAGTTGCAAAGAGCAATGTAAACTTTGTCATATGCAAACGTCAAATTGCAGGATCAAAAATGTTTCTCATGATATAGTATGGTATCAAAAGGCAATTCAGGAAAGACAAACGCCAAGCACCACAGGAAAGCTAGTGAAAGCTTATAATGTTAATTATCAAAAACATGTAGCTTGACGAGACCTAGCTATCTTTCTTCTTTGGGTCAGACAGACCTGGCTATCAAAAGGCAAAAATCCTAGGTTTTATATAGCAGTGTAGCAAATGAACAATGCTGGATGGGAATAACTTATTGATAAGCAACATGAGCTGTTCAAGATATCTTACCAAAGAAATAAACAGCTGTTCAAAAAGCTCAACAGGTGGGATGTCTTCTAAGTCATTCAGAATACCCTCCCTGAAGAATTAAAGCAACACACTGCCTTGTAAAGTCAAGTGTAAGCACTAATCAGAACTAGCATCTATATAAAGATTCAAACTTACACAGCCAAATCCACATCAAAGAGGGGAGCCTGTTTAACAGCTGGTACAGGTTTGGCTGTTTCCCACAGTTCACGCCACAAGTTACCTAGCATTGTTGCATATTCAATTACAAGAGAAATCAGATAAAAGTTCAAATCAGTAGCAGCACACTCAACTTCAACCTGCTTAGTGAAGTTTATGACATGGTCACGTAACTAATTGATTTGATCATGGACACTAGGAGAAAAAAGAATGCAATAATTTGTGATTCAATAGACAAGAAAATCCAGATGAATACACAATTCAGGTAAAATACATCTTACATAGAAACAACCAATAGCTAGCAGTAATATCTTTAAGAATTAATCTGCTTATTGCTTTGCTAAATGAACAGTTCTATATTGTAGTTGAGGTCACCAGGGTAAAGGGTAAACCTTCCTTTTGCATTCGACTGCTTAGTTGACCTCTTGTAGAAGATGAATCAACTTGATCAACATACTCTTGAGCCTCATCACTTGGCTCACCTTCTGTCCAGTCAGGGGGAGAGTGCCATCTGACAAAATCTTCTAAGATACAACCAGGATTTGCAGCCTAGCGCACATATAGAATGTCAATTACTTTCATAAACTTCCTGAAATAAGATATACTTTGTTTGAAGAATCTACCTTGAAGGCCTGCATGTCAGAGAGGAGTTGAGAACACCCAGCGCCAACACTGACCATTGGAAATAACACAATTCATCAAAGAAATCCCAAAGCTTAATTGCTTTCCTAAACATCACAAGTTTCAAATGCAGAAAGCTAAAGGCGTGCATGGGCCTGAGATCAACATATTGTGCTTTTTGACAGAACCAAACTTGGATAAAGATAAGTATTTTGTATAAAAACTATTTAATTTGTTGTCAATTGCAGGCATCATACTACATTTACCAAACATAACCATAAATTTAAATGGTTAATATTTCATATCCATTCGTGATGCTTAGAGAATGCAAAAGAAGCCCAAATCCAACACATTGTTTAAGAGGCACAGAGGAATCCTATAACAAAAACATCAAAGAGAACAATGGCTTAAAAACTATAATAATTGACTAGCAGATCTTTTATACTTTGTTCAGCTGGTCTAGCTCATACAACGAGACTAATGTTCCTAAACGTAGCAGCAATTTATTTGATTGCAGATCCAAGGACGACAACCTGCCCTTCCTTATCTCAGTGTGGTCAGCACCCTTCCCTGTTTTGGATGGTTTTTACTGTTCTGCTTAGCACCTAACTTCTACAACAGGAATTACTCAACACACTAACCTTCCAGTTCGCAGCACGAACTCTTCTGTTTCTTTGATAAGATCTTCAGTAAGCAAAGGTCCTTCCTGTATATATGGATGAAAATGGATTTAAACAAGAAAGTCATATAAGTACATGGTTAAGAACTACTGAGAATAACCAACCAAACCTGGGTGATCGGTGAGTATACAGGTTCTCCGGTTTCCAACATGGTTAAATTATCAGCAGGTCTATCAGCTCCCAATCGAAGAACAAGTTCTCCAGTGCTTATTCTAGCATATAAGATATGGTGTGAGGTCACTATGCCCTGGAGATCAGCCGATTCTTCAGGACATGAACCAGCATGCCTCATTACTGATTCTATTGATTGAGTGGCCAGAGTGCGCCACTTTTTTCTAGAAATACAAGAATTCACAACCTGAAGTTGCTGGTACAAACGACAGGAATTTAAATCTGGAATCTCATCTAGAGGGATGCCAGGTATATACAGCTCTTCAGACCAAAGTCGTCTTATCTGAAAATGGTGAACATGCTTTGCCAGATAAAGAAACTGGTGAAGTGATGCTAATGCTCAAAATTCCAAAGCATGTGAAAGATCGTATCTGAACAATTTCATGGTTTGGACCAAAAGGAAAACTAGTTATCGTGTATTGCTTTGCAGTGAAGAGAACAATGGAAATTGTTCTTGTAGTGGTGCTAGATTTTAACAGTTATTATTTGAGGTTTGTAAAGCTTATGTAGTCTTTCCCATGTGTTAGATCACCAGATAGAATTTCTAGCAGTCCACTTACCTCAGTAACAATTTTGCACCAGAACAATGCCATTTTTCGCAGGGTTGTAAAACTTCCAATTACTTCAGATAGTTTAGTAAGAAAGCCCTCAGGTGGAGCACCATGAATATCTCTGGGCAATAATGGTGGTTCCAAAACCAGGCTCATGTTCCGGCTGAGAAAGTTTCCCTCTGCGAATATCTTGCAAATATTACAACGGAAGTGAAAGATCATCACAAGATAATGCATCAAAATAACAAATTTTTATATGTAAAACAATAATGCAATGTATCAAAGAGTAAAGAAAAACGGTATGAAAAGCAGTCTGAAGGTCATCTAATCATGAATCTACCTGCATCAAACAATGATTTTATCAAGGATACCAGCTTCTCATCATTACCAAACTCAGATGTAAGTTTACCCTCCTTGTCTCGAAGCACTAATGACTTAACTGCAGCAAGGCTTAAGCTTGCCCTCTCCATTATTGGTGAGGAAGCTCCAGATGATGCCAAAATGTCTTTCACTGACTTAAACTTTTTTCCAGAACTGAAAAAGATTCCCAGAAAACAATTAAGAACTCTGTGTGCATGGAGAAAAATCACACTCAATTACAGAATAATCTCATCAGGACACAGCCTCAAGATTTGCCGAGTTTAATAAAATGATCTGAGAACTAAAAGAAAAGGGAATATTTAGGTCAAAGAATAAAAAAATATCCAGCAACTTACTCCACAGCTATAGCCAATTGCTTCAAGGCAGAAACTGGAGGAATTGTATCTGGGTTGGTGGCATTTAATCTTTCCACTATGGAAGAAACATGTGAGCCCTACATAAGATCAATCCTGGAAATAAGTAAACAAGTAAAAACAAGAAATTCTACATTTGTGTGAGCCATGCAGCAAAACAAACAACAATCAAAGATGTTGGATAACGGAACAGACAAAAGCTTTTCCTATTAGCTTCATACTCTTATATATTGTAGGAACAAATGTACTACTCTGTTGCAAGAAAACAGAGAAGCTTAGTTTTTCAGCATGACCCTTTTTAGGTAAAGAAAAGAAAAAAAGTAAATTGGGGAGAAAACTACCACTTGGCTTAAGTATTAACTGCCTGCGGCAACAAATAAAAGCCTTGATAGAATGTCAGCTCATGTGGAACAGCTTGTGTACGAGTTGCTATCTTTCTAGTTCAGAAATTTGACTCATTTTCAGTTGGAACGTTTTCATCTAA